TAGCACTAGTTTTCGCTCAAAAGCGTTTTAAAATGGCTACAATTTTATTTTCGGAGAAAGGGTTGAACTTATTGCAGCGATAACTACTATCTGATTTGTTTATGATGTCGTTCCAAATTATGATAAGCGAGTGATGGGTGATATTCGAGTATAAAACTGAACGAGTCTTACGGGTGTTTACGGCTTTCAAGTTAAAATTTAGACCGGGTTTGGCTAAGTATGTATCAACAAGTTGATTATGGAATGACGCATGTAGATTTTCTAGAGCGTGATGCAACGAGGATGCACCAACAACAAAAACCATTAATTGTTTTATACCAAAAAATAATGGACGGGGCAGATTGAATAATTCCACAAGTATTTTTGGATAGATTTGAGGGGCGTCAAATATGTGAGTTCAAAATCCATTTAACTACTCGGAGTAAACCTGAAGTCGCCAGAGCTCAAACTAATTTATACGACTGAGTTTTTTGAGATTGTATAAATAAGGTTGAAATTTTCAAGCGTTCCGGTCGAGGGTATTAGCTTTTGGTAAATAGCAAACTTTTGACTTTATTTTTGGTTTTTCGAATTGGTTGATAGCGAGAGGTTTACCAGGTTCGAACAAACTTAGTTCAAAATGTTGACCAAAAATCTCACAAAAATCTATAAAAGTTGATTTTATACTAAAGTAAAAATATGAGCAAAAATAAAATTTTAGAAGTCTATAACACTCGTTTTTATACTTGAATTCAAAATCTTGGCCCAAAATTTTCAAAATAAATTGAGTCACTTGCTTTTCTACGTAGATTTTTGAGATTTACAAATAGTTAAGAACCTCAGTTGAAATGGAAAAAAAAGGGTTTTGGGTATTTCTTACAGTTATCTATGAAAAAAATCTCTTGAATCCTAACGGCATGAATCCGTTCAGCTATTTACGGTTTGCTGTTCACTCTCGCCAGTTTCCAGTCATGACAACTTATGTGCAGCTTCTGTTACCACTAGTTTTCTCGATACCCGTTCAGAAGTCCTCCATTTGTACAAAATTCGATACCTGCTCAAAAGGCCTCCATTTGACCAAAATTCGATACCCGTTCAAAAAGCCTCAGTTTGTTCAAAACTCGATGCCCGTTTGAAAGGCCTCCACTTTTCCAAAATCGATATCTGTTCAAAAAGCCTCCGTTGGTTGAAGGTATGGGGGGGGGGCAGGATACTGGTCCGTAGACGCGATCCGTAATCAGTCGCGGCACCAAAAATGTACTGAAGATAAGTTGTCGTCCAATATTGTATTTCGGGTATAAATTTAAGCAACCAAATTCGACGATTTTTTTTGGCTTCAATTCGGATCAAAAGAGCAATAGCTATTTGCTTAAATTGAAACTTTAAACATCACCGATATTGAGCGTGTGAGAGCGTTCACACTTGCGGCTAAACACTGTTTTGACAGTTGAAAACCTGTCAATCAAGGTCGGCCAAAGTTGTTTTTTGAACTGGTTTAAATAGGTAGTCAATATTAAAAAGATTTTTTTTAGTGGGGGGGATTCGAACCCGTTTACTGAGCGTGAATTTATGTTCCGTCATGTCCGGCGCCTATAATTATATTGAATGTCTGTTGGATATAAAATGAAAACTGCATCGTATTTTTAGTTTGAGATTTAATAATTTAGTTCTGGTAATCTGACTCACTATCTCAAATTTTTTGATCATCGCAGGTGATTTTAGTTAAAGATTAAAACGTAAAAAAATTGAGAAAATTTTATAAAAAAATTCATAAAAAAGTAGTCAATTTTCATCCCTTAACCATTTTTTATAAGGAAACTTAAGTGTCCGAACTGTCATTTTAATAAAAAGAGCAAAGAAGAGGTGAACTATCATGTTGCCAAGAAACATGCTCAACCAAGTTCGAAGCAGTCGACAATTTGTCCTTCTTGTGAACAAGAAATCCCAGTTTACTATTCTCTCCCACAACATCGGAGAAAGGAACATGGAGCTAAGCAACGAAAATCTAGTGATACGGTGGCTGAGCTGAACAAGATTGTGGAGGAAGAGTTAAAATATGGCGAAAAATTGAAAGAGGAACTTAGTGCTTGTCACCATTTCCTGGTGGTTACGGAGATGGAAAATAGGAGACACAGGGTATTCAACTTCAAATGTCCAACTTAGATACCAACATTATTAACGAGAAAGTTGAAGAAGTCTTCAACAAGCTCAATTTCGTCGCTAAAATTAACATTGTTCTGGGGTTTGTTCTTCGAAATTTTGAGACAAGCGAATATCGATTTTTCTACGCCCATGAAAACAATACTTTTTTTGAAAAATCCCATTTGCTTTGTACTAAAGCAGATTTGAGAACAATCTACTTGACAACAGTTATTTAAAAAAGTTTCCTTAAATAAAATCTCAAAAGGGCTCCATAATTTTGAGGGCTCCTTAATGTTGCAATTCCATTCGATGACCCACTTTTTTTTGATACACGCTATTCACCTTCTTGTTGTTTATATTTAATCGAGCTTAAAACCTAGAGGCGAACATTAGAAACATTTCAACTTCAGGTCTGCATAAAAAACTGTAGTAGCTCTTTTTCTATTTTTTCAAATTTAAAACTATGCTCTTTTTTTCAATCGAAACGTGTTTTGTGAGAAAGAAACTTGGCAATAGCATTTACTTTTATACAGCAGAAAACAATTGATTAATTTGCATTTTTTGTTTCATCGATTTAGGACAATAGTCGATGCTTTTCCTAAATCACAGCATCGATGTTTCATGTTGTCTGTGATTTACAAACTATTTGTGACAAAAAGCCAAAATGTTGTTTCTTGGCTGATAAAATATAATCCAACTGTTTTGTACAAAAATTATATAAATATAATAAATTTTAGAAAGCGAGTTCGACTGTATTTTTTGTGCTATTTTTCAAATCACGCTGTGATCAATGTGATCTCCGTTCTTGTGATTTGTCAAACAGCACCGACAGGTAAATGCACTCTAAAGGCAAATTAAAGCAAATTCGTTGATAAGTTCAGCAATTGCCAAGGCTTGCGTCGCAACACGAGGTATATTTAAATTTTTCTATCAAATATTCTTGAAAGTCATTGCTTGATATCTTTAAGTTTGATAAAAATTAGTTTTTGACTATTTAACATGAAAGAAGCTCTTAGCAAACAAATGTTTTTCAAAAAAGGTCAAATGATTTAAATTCTTTGGTTTTTCAACTTTCTCAAAAATTTGCATAACACGAGTCTGCGACAAAATATAACCTACTATCCGGCAACTGGATAAAATTACCGAATTCATGCGGATTGAATTTCACTAAGACCACAATTTTCTTATTTATATAGCTGATAATTTATTTGTGACAAAAAGCCAAAATGTTGTTTCTTGGCTGATAAATTATAATCCAACTGTTTTGTACAAAAATTATATAAATATAATAAATTTTAGAAAGCGAGTTCGACTGTATTTTTTGTGCTATTTTTCAAATCACGCTGTGATCAATGTGATCTCCGTTCTTGCGATTTGTCGAACAGCACCGACAGTAAATGCACTCTGAACTCGTGACAGCAAGTTCGCATCAGCCTTGATTGATTGATTAGCTTCAGATAAATTTCAATTTCCATGAACGTTTTTTGCTTAAGCGTTAACATCGTTAAAAATGATAAGCTATTATTTTTTCGATAAACAGCAAAGAATTATCCAAAAAGGAACAACCAATTGGTTAATCGTGAGCAACTTTACATTCTTTTCTCAACTTAGTCAGCTTAAAACATTAGTGTTTTAGATGCAAAGGAAAGAAGATAAAAATCTTTTAACTAACCACAGTGCAGCAAAGTTTTGGTTCTCACAAGAAAACTCTACTGCTAATTAACTGTTTTTCTTTCGCGGGGTTCAGTTTCTTTAGTAGATAACATATGGGAAGTTTGTTAAAACAAACTCACTTTCTCAGCTTTTCCTAAATTCCTGCTGATGATTTTAATTAGCACATCTGGATAAAAAAATTGACCTAAACTGGGCAAAATCGCATTGCGCACAGTGTTTCATGTTTACGTTATAATAGACTTTCGGCGAGGAGTGCATAGACTCACAAAATTATTCACAAAATCGTTTTGTGAATTACATCCGCAACGAGCGCCCATGGATTCTAATCGATTATAATGGACTCCCGAGATAAAATAATCCATTATAATCCATTACAGATGTAATATTCAGACCACGAAATTGATTATAATGCCATTACAATTGATTATTTTTAAAAAAATGATCCATTATAATCGATTATAATCCATTATTTTTGTAACTGAAATCGAATACTTTTGCCAAGATAATCCATTCTAAATGATTATTTTTGAACCAAAAATCCGTTATAAGGCATTGTAAGCGATTTTTCTCCAATTCATTTTGAGAACTAAGTACGATTATTTTTGTGAAACTTTACCAATTTTGCAAGAAAGGTGCAAAACGTATGTCATGTCTTTTACTTTTACTAAATGGGGGGGTTTAAACTGGGGGTGTATAATGGGGGATGTAAACGGGGGGGGGGGGCGGTTGTGGTAAAAAAAATTGTAGAATGAAGTGTTAAACTGCGATGAATTAAAAAAGTAGAGAAAAAAATGATTTGTGAAATGTAAAATTTTATGAAGCGGAAGGCGTAGCAACTGTTCTAAACAGAAAATGAGATAACTTTGAAAAAATGTAAATTTCACAATAAACCCCTCAAAAAAATCCCTTAATCGATTATAATTGATTATTATGGATTTTAATGGCCTAAAAACATTAGGAATATAATCCATTTTAATGGATTATAATTGATTAATTTGTCATTTTATAGATACTGACCATATTATGTCAATACAATGGATTGTGATCCATAGGCGCTCAGTGCAGGTAAAGCATGATTTAAAAAATCAAAGCAGTAGAAATAATTCAAAATACTAAACTGGAAGATTTTTGATATACTATGACATCTAATCACAGTGCCGATTGTATAATTTCAAAAAAAACTTGAAAAATTAACAGCAACTTACATATGAAGCTCCAACTTTCTGTCTCGATCACTTATAGTGAAAAATTTGCTTCTCAAAACTCAGTTTTTTCATGTGTTTCTATTTTATCAAGTGTTTGTATTTTTCAAAGTTAAACCATACAGTTAATCAATTGAGAGAGTTTTGCAAGTTTGCTCAATGTATTATTTCTGTTTACAAGTTTACACTCAATGTATTATTTCTGTCGCCATTCTGTTGTAATGTTATACTATAAGCAAAAATTTCATTCTTAAAATTGCTTTTTTATGCAAAAGCTTTAGTCGGCTTAAAATCTAAATTACTCAATGTATTATTTCTGTCGCCATTCTGTTGTAATGTTATACTATTGTAATGTTATACATTCTGTTGTAATGTTATACTATTGTAATGTTACACTCAATGTATTATTTCTGTCGCCATTCTGTTGTAATGTTATACTATAAGCAAAAATTTCATTCTTAAAATTGCTTTTTTATGCAAAAGCTTTAGTCGGCTTAAAATCTAAATTACTCAATGTATTATTTCTGTCGCCATTCTGTTGTAATGTTATACTATAAGCAAAAATTTCATTCTTAAAATTGCTTTTTTATGCAAAAGCTTTAGTCGGCTTAAAATCTAAATTGCGGCTTTAAATTGCGGCGCCTTCTGACTTCAAAGCGCACTTTTTTTTCGTTGTTTTTTGTATTATCATATATCAGAACAACTCGATGTTTCATGTTGTCACTGATTAAACTTGGTCTTAGTTCTTTTTTTTGTGAAGAATAACAAAATTATGCGAAAAATAACAAAAAAATTTAAATTAATTTTATTTAAAACAGAAGTATTTAAAAAAGTTATGAGCAATTGAGATTAGCACCGAAAAACTTAATTATAAAAAATTGTAAATGACTAAAATAGGTTATGTTTTTTTTTAAACCAGTTTTGAGACAAGTTAAGTTTCTTCGATTAAAATCGATTGTGATTGAGTTTTAATGCCTCAAACAATGATAAAAATGGTTCCCTTTTAGTCGAACTGTAATATCATCTTTTTACGAGCTTACAGCATTAATTAAAGGTAGCACAAAGTTTTCTAACAAGATGTAGATTACACCTCAGCTCAGGAATTTTTTAACTGATACTGAATTATACATATTTACGTGCAAGCCAATTAGTACGACCAAAAAACGGTCTCTTTTTGAGCTCGTTGGTTGGAAAATAAAACGCATTCAAGAATTAAATGAGAGATTGGCAGTTAGGAATATTTCGAACATTGTCTTCTTTATAAAATGTGTGCTCTTGTTTGAAGTTTATTTGAAAAAAAAAACATAGCTTGAAAGCTTAGTTTAAGCTCCTACCCTTGTGATAGCTTCATATAATTGAGAATCTACTTTAAATAACGAAACGATTCGATTTCTTCTTAATGATTGAAAATTATGGTCGTATCATAATGATAAGAGAAGAACTTACAGTATGAAATATGATTGTCAATAGTATATATAAAAAAATTTGTCAACACTGAGACACTTAATCCAGATTTTTTTGAGTCAAACGAGATTTAAAAATTTAAAGAAAGCTTTACTGAATGATTTTTTTTCTATCGAATAGTTCACTAGCCATAACTTTAGACTTGTAATTTTAACATTCAGCTTCCATATGCATCTTGCGAAAAAATCTTCCTTTTATACATACAGCACTTGACAAATTTTTGAGCTGAAGTAGTGGAAAGTTGATTTAAGTAAGAAATACGAATTTAGATAAAAAAACCTCGACTCGATATAAGTTTGCTCCAGACAGTCCTGCTCTGTAGCGGATTTAGGGAGGATTGCGGGAAGGGACTATTTTGAAATATCCAGATTTGGTGATGGACCCTAAAAGTTTTCTAAAGGCGCCTTTGGCGCCAATCTATACTAATTTTGAGGGGGGAGCGCGCGCCAAAAAAATGATTATTCGGTCGAAATTTTACAAAAACGCTTAAAAACGCTTTTTTTTGGCTTTTTTCAAAAATTTGCCTGCCGCGCCAAATGTTTGGTCAAATCAAGGTCTTTATAGTGGTTTACGAGAACTCAGAAAATCTATTTGGTCGAACTAAAAACAAGGTCGTCAAAATTTTTGAAAATTTATTGAAAGTCCGAAAAAAACCTAGATCCGCCCCTGGTCCTGCTATTATAACAGATAAATCATGAATATCCCCGGTAGTTACAGTTTATCTTTGTGATGAGTTACTTTCTTATCTTTTTTTTGTGAAATCACCGTAAAAGTTTATTAGTAAAAGAAAGAGGTTAAAAATAGAAAGATACAAATTTTTAGGTTATGGCGGCGTCGAAAATTATGCTCAAAATGTTCTACCGGGAGATGTTACCAAATTCAGTGTTATTGTAAGCTTTGAAAAAATCAAATTTCTTCAGTTTTTTTTAGCCGAGGAGTAATTTTTTTGTTTCTGCGTCCAACTACTTTGTTGTAAATTTGAACATTGAAAATCCAAGATTTTGGCTGTAATTTGTTTGACGAATTCTTTTTTTGTCTTGGCCAATGCAACCATATAACCATTTAACTTTTTTTAGTACTATCGTGTTTTAGTGGGTCGAATATTTGTCCTCAAAAATTCAAACTGTCCTCAACACTTCGTAAAAAAACCTTAATTGAAATCATTGTTTGTAGTCTTAGCTGCAGTCGAGATTCATTGTACTGATTAGGTTATCGCAGAAAACCCATGCTTGATTTAACCCAGGGTTGTTCTTCAAGACATCCTGCAAGCTTGCGTCTATTTGAAAATCTGATTTTTGGACAAACAATCTTTGTTATTATATGGAGATATCTGATAAACTCTCAAAAAAAATCTGCCTAGGATTCGATTTAGAATTCAGTTATGGAAAAGTTACAAACCTGGTTTACAGGATGGGACAATGAAGCCAAAAAGAACCAAGAAAACATAGTGCCCCAATAAATCTTTATTCAAAAAAATCGTTGAAAATTTTTATCACGGTTTCAATATCTATTCGAAATCGCCTCTGTAATGTCATCCGAGTAACTAAAACGTTGTACGTTTTTACAAGCGGTCAATTTTCAGAATGATTACGGTAGATTGACAGACATACGATTGTGATGAATGTAATGCTTTCAATTTGGCGTCCCGGGTCGCGGTTTTGACTATGTGTTTTGACTGAAGTGATCAAACTGGATGTCTTTGCTCAACCAAAATTCCAAAATTGCTCAGCGTCTCACAGCCGAAAAATTCTTAAGATTCAATGCGCGATAAAATATCAGCTTGGTGGACAAATTTAGCTCGTGCTAAATCAATCACTGTCGTGTTCGCAATTTTTTTTTCAAAACGAACCTAGAATTTTTTTCCTGAGGTCCGTAAATTTGTTACTGGCTCGTTTAATAAAATTGTGCAACTTCAAGCTAGCCACTAAAAAGTATAGAAGCCAAACTCTGCTTTTTCTTAGATTTTAAGAAAGCAAGCTTTAGCTTCTGCACTTTTATTAGGGACTAGTTTCCAAATCGCAGGCTAAACAAACAAGTTTACACAGGTGTTTTGTATTTGAACCAATTTGGGCGTATTTTTCCAAACATCTGAGCACAATTGATATATTTAGCTATCTAATATATATTTTTTTTAAATTCAAGGGATATTGATATTTTAAGCTCTTAATTATAATTGATTGACAATTATAATTAAGTTTAAAAAAATAATTGAATTAATTAAGTAAGGTTTTAATGTGTTTAATTGATAGATTAATCATTGATACACCCCAACAGCCCAATCTGATGATAGTGAATTATCTATAACTTTCGTACGTTATATCTAAAATTTAGGATAAATGGGCTTTCAAAGTTATCAATTTTGGACAGTTATAGCTTACTTTTTACCATTTTTTGCGAACCGTGTTCGGCATATTAAGTCATTCCAAATTGAATGGTTGCATATTAATTACTCCAAACACATTACAACAAAGGGTAAATTATTGAAATTTATGTTTGACATTGTGCATGGGATAAAAACTTCACATTAAAAACCAAAATTTATATATATTTCTAAAAACTTTTAAGAAAATTGTTCAATAAACTATCTTCATTTTTTGAGTGCTCCGCTTCCCTTCGCCTCCACATTCCGTGGATCACACAGCGACTGAGACATCAGCTGGGTCATCTTGCACACCTGCTCCGACGAGAGAATCATCTTTAGCATATACACCCATCTGGTCGGATCGCTCAAGTGTGGGTGCTGGAAAAAATTTTATATACACTGATAATTACTTAGCGATTTGAAAACCTAACATAATAGCTATTAGTGTATTGTTCAAAAAATACACTGTATTTCAAAATATTACAAAAGAAACAAGGATAGCCGGTATCTGTGCAAGTAGCACAGAATTTTCCGACCAGTCTTACAAAATTACAAAACTATTTTTCCAATTAGTGTCGTTTTATCGGCTTGGTGTGATAAAGGAATCTAACCGAAAATAGAACTCAGGCACTTTTATCAGTAACAGTAAAAAATTCAAATTGGAAGTCAATTTTCTAAGACAAATAGCAAAAACAAACAAAAACAAAAAAAAACGAAATTTAGTTTTTTTTTGTTCCCAAATTTTTGAAGTTTTTGATTCCTAAGATCAAGCTAAAAACTCACTTCATTAGAGTAAAACCAAGTTTTCAAAGTTTAAGCTAAGCATAAATAAGGTAATTTAGGCCTGCTTATTCGCTCAAACCTAGAGACGAAAAATTAAAAATCTCAAACCGCTTTTTTCTCGACATCGGGAAAACTTTGTTGAACGTTTTTGATATACTTCAAATCACGATTAAAAGGGCTTTAATATGATATATTATTCAACCCAATCCGATGATTTTTTGTGATAGCTGATTGTGCGTGGAAAACAAAAAGAAAAAACTAACACACACTCGAATACAAAGTTCCTCACCATTTTCAATGGTCGGAACAAAAAAACAGGCTACATTTCGTAATTCCGTTGAGTTTTTCTGTTCATAATGAGATAGAATCTATTTTGAGCTACTTGTACACAACAACTTCTCCATCGAAATTGTAACCTTTGAAAAATTTATCTAGCTAACTCAAAACTTTTTGTTTTCTAAACAGAAGCAATCTATTTCTAAACTTACATTAGAAAATTATTTTTCAAAAAATGACACGACTATATTATTAAAACAAATTTAGCCCACGAACTTTGAGCGCTGATCTTGTAA